CCCTCTAACCCTGCCCCTGCGTACTTCCCTCTAACCCTGCCCCTCCATACTTCCCTCTAACCCTGCCCCTCCATACTTCCCTCTAACCCTGCCCCTGCGTACTTCCCTCTAACCCTGCCCCTCCGTACTTCCCTCTAACCCTGCCCCTCCATACTTCCCTCTAACCCTGCCCCTGCGTACTTCCCTCTAACCCTGCCCCTGCGTACTTCCTTCTAACCCTGCCCCTCCATACTTCCCTCTAACCCTGCCCCTCCATACTTCCCTCTAACCCCGCCCCTGCGTACTTCCTTCTAACCCTGCCCCTGCGTACTTCCTTCTAACCCTGCCCCTGCGTACTTCCCTCTAACCCTGACCCTGCGTACTTCCTTCTAACCCTGCCCCTGCGTACTTCCCTCTAACCCTGCCCCTCCATACTTCCCTCTAACCCTGCCCCTCCATACTTCCCTCTAACCCTGCCCCTGCGTACTTCCCTCTAACCCTGCCCCTCCGTACTTCCCTCTAACCCTGCCCCTCCATACTTCCTTCTAACCCTGCCCCTGCGTACTTCCCTCTAACCCCGCCCCTGCGTACTTCCTTCTAACCCTGCCCCTGCGTACTTCCCTCTAACCCTGCCCCTCCATACTTCCCTCTAACCCTGCCCCTCCATACTTCCTTCTAACCCTGCCCCTGCGTACTTCCCTCTAACCCCGCCCCTGCGTACTTCCTTCTAACCCTGCCCCTGCGTACTTCCCTCTAACCCTGCCCCTCCATACTTCCCTCTAACCCTGCCCCTGCGTACTTCCCTCTAACCCTGCCCCTCCGTACTTCCCTCTAACCCTGCCCCTCCGTACTTCCCTCTAACCCTGCCCCTGCGTACTTCCCTCTAACCCTGCCCCTCCATACTTCCCTCTAACCCTGCCCCTGCGTACTTCCCTCTAACCCTGCCCCTGCGTACTTCCCTCTAACCCTGCCCCTGCGTACTTCCCTCTAACCCTGCCCCTGCGTACTTCCCTCTAACCCTGCCCCTGCGTACTTCCCTCTAACCCTGCCCCTCCATACTTCCTTCTAACCCTGCCCCTGCGTACTTCCCTCTAACCCCGCCCCTGCGTACTTCCCTCTAACCCTGCGTACTTCCCCCCAACCCTGCCCCTCCATACTTCCCTCTAACCCTGCCCCTGCGTACTTCCCTCTAACCCTGCCCCTGCGTACTTCCCTCTAACCCTGCCCCTCCATACTTCCCTCTAACCCTGCCCCTGCGTACTTCCCTCTAACCCTGCCCCTGCGTACTTCCTTCTAACCCTGCCCCTCCATACTTCCCTCTAACCCTGCCCCTCCATACTTCCCTCTAACCCTGCCCCTCCATACTTCCCTCTAACCCTGCCCCTGCGTACTTCCCTCTAACCCTGCCCCTCCGTACTTCCCTCTAACCCTGCCCCTCCATACTTCCTTCTAACCCTGCCCCTGCGTACTTCCCTCTAACCCCGCCCCTGCGTACTTCCTTCTAACCCTGCCCCTGCGTACTTCCCTCTAACCCTGCCCCTCCATACTTCCCTCTAACCCTGCCCCTCCATACTTCCTTCTAACCCTGCCCCTGCGTACTTCCCTCTAACCCCGCCCCTGCGTACTTCCTTCTAACCCTGCCCCTGCGTACTTCCCTCTAACCCTGCCCCTCCATACTTCCCTCTAACCCTGCCCCTGCGTACTTCCCTCTAACCCTGCCCCTCCGTACTTCCCTCTAACCCTGCCCCTCCGTACTTCCCTCTAACCCTGCCCCTGCGTACTTCCCTCTAACCCTGCCCCTCCATACTTCCCTCTAACCCTGCCCCTGCGTACTTCCCTCTAACCCTGCCCCTGCGTACTTCCCTCTAACCCTGCCCCTGCGTACTTCCCTCTAACCCTGCCCCTGCGTACTTCCCTCTAACCCTGCCCCTGCGTACTTCCCTCTAACCCTGCCCCTCCATACTTCCTTCTAACCCTGCCCCTGCGTACTTCCCTCTAACCCCGCCCCTGCGTACTTCCCTCTAACCCTGCGTACTTCCCCCCAACCCTGCCCCTCCATACTTCCCTCTAACCCTGCCCCTGCGTACTTCCCTCTAACCCTGCCCCTGCGTACTTCCCTCTAACCCTGCCCCTCCATACTTCCCTCTAACCCTGCCCCTGCGTACTTCCCTCTAACCCTGCCCCTGCGTACTTCCCTCTAACCCTGCCCCTCCATACTTCCCTCTAACCCTGCCCCTGCGTACTTCCCTCTAACCCTGCCCCTCCATACTTCCCTCTAACCCTGCCCCTCCATACTTCCCTCTAACCCTGCCCCTCCGTACTTCCCTCTAACCCTGCCCCTCCATACTTCCCTCTAACCCTGCCCCTGCGTACTTCCCTCTAACCCTGCCCCTCCGTACTTCCCTCTAACCCTGCCCCTGCGTACTTCCCTCTAACCCTGCCCCTGCGTACTTCCCTCTAACCCTGCCCCTCCGTACTTCCCTCTAACCCTGCCCCTCCGTACTTCCCCCTAACCCTGCCCCTCCATAATTCCCTCTAACCCTGCCCCTGCGTACTTCCCTCTAACCCTGCCCCTGCGTACTTCCTTCTAACCCTGCCCCTGCGTACTTCCCTCTAACCCCGCCCCTGCGTACTTCCCTCTAACCCTGCGTACTTCCCCCAACCCTGCCCCTCCATACTTCCCTCTAACCCTGCCCCTGCGTACTTCCCTCTAACCCTGCCCCTGCGTACTTCCCTCTAACCCTGCCCCTCCATACTTCCCTCTAACCCTGCCCCTGCGTACTTCCCTCTAACCCTGCCCCTGCGTACTTCCCTCTAACCCTGCCCCTGCGTACTTCCCTCTAACCCTGCCCCTGCGTACTTCCTTCTAACCCTGCCCCTGCGTACTTCCCTCTAACCCTGCCCCTCCATACTTCCCTCTAACCCTGCCCCTCCATACTTCCCTCTAACCCTGCCCCTGCGTACTTCCCTCTAACCCTGCCCCTCCGTACTTCCCTCTAACCCTGCCCCTCCATACTTCCTTCTAACCCTGCCCCTGCGTACTTCCCTCTAACCCCGCCCCTGCGTACTTCCTTCTAACCCTGCCCCTGCGTACTTCCCTCTAACCCTGCCCCTCCATACTTCCCTCTAACCCTGCCCCTGCGTACTTCCCTCTAACCCTGCCCCTGCGTACTTCCCTCTAACCCTGCCCCTCCATACTTCCCTCTAACCCTGCCCCTGCGTACTTCCCTCTAACCCTGCCCCTCCGTACTTCCCTCTAACCCTGCCCCTCCGTACTTCCCTCTAACCCTGCCCCTGCGTACTTCCCTCTAACCCTGCCCCTCCATACTTCCCTCTAACCCTGCCCCTGCGTACTTCCCTCTAACCCTGCCCCTGCGTACTTCCCTCTAACCCTGCCCCTGCGTACTTCCCTCTAACCCTGCCCCTGCGTACTTCCCTCTAACCCTGCCCCTGCGTACTTCCCTCTAACCCTGCCCCTCCATACTTCCCTCTAACCCTGCGTACTTCCCCCCAACCCTGCCCCTCCATACTTCCCTCTAACCCTGCCCCTGCGTACTTCCCTCTAACCCTGCCCCTGCGTACTTCCCTCTAACCCTGCCCCTCCATACTTCCCTCTAACCCTGCCCCTGCGTACTTCCCTCTAACCCTGCCCCTGCGTACTTCCCTCTAACCCTGCCCCTCCATACTTCCCTCTAACCCTGCCCCTGCGTACTTCCCTCTAACCCTGCCCCTCCATACTTCCCTCTAACCCTGCCCCTCCATACTTCCCTCTAACCCTGCCCCTCCGTACTTCCCTCTAACCCTGCCCCTCCATACTTCCCTCTAACCCTGCCCCTGCGTACTTCCCTCTAACCCTGCCCCTCCGTACTTCCCTCTAACCCTGCCCCTGCGTACTTCCCTCTAACCCTGCCCCTGCGTACTTCCCTCTAACCCTGCCCCTCCGTACTTCCCTCTAACCCTGCCCCTCCGTACTTCCCCCTAACCCTGCCCCTCCATACTTCCCTCTAACCCTGCCCCTGCGTACTTCCCTCTAACCCTGCCCCTGCGTACTTCCTTCTAACCCTGCCCCTGCGTACTTCCCTCTAACCCCGCCCCTGCGTACTTCCCTCTAACCCTGCCCCTCCATACTTCCTTCTAACCCTGCCCCTGCGTACTTCCCTCTAACCCCGCCCCTGCGTACTTCCTTCTAACCCTGCCCCTGCGTACTTCCCTCTAACCCTGCCCCTCCATACTTCCCTCTAACCCTGCCCCTGCGTACTTCCCTCTAACCCTGCCCCTGCGTACTTCCCTCTAACCCTGCCCCTCCGTACTTCCCTCTAACCCTGCCCCTCCGTACTTCCCCCTAACCCTGCCCCTCCATACTTCCCTCTAACCCTGCCCCTGCGTACTTCCCTCTAACCCTGCCCCTGCGTACTTCCCTCTAACCCTGCCCCTGCGTACTTCCTTCTAACCCTGCCCCTGCGTACTTCCCTCTAACCCTGCCCCTCCATACTTCCCTCTAACCCTGCCCCTGCGTACTTCCCTCTAACCCTGCCCCTCCGTACTTCCCTCTAACCCTGCCCCTCCGTACTTCCCCCTAACCCTGCCCCTCCATACTTCCCTCTAACCCTGCCCCTGCGTACTTCCCTCTAACCCTGCCCCTGCGTACTTCCCTCTAACCCTGCCCCTGCGTACTTCCTTCTAACCCTGCCCCTGCGTACTTCCCTCTAACCCCGCCCCTGCGTACTTCCCTCTAACCCTGCCCCTCCATACTTCCCTCTAACCCTGACCCTGCGTACTTCCTTCTAACCCTGCCCCTGCGTACTTCCCTCTAACCCTGACCCTGCGTACTTCCTTCTAACCCTGCCCCTGCGTACTTCCCTCTAACCCTGCCCCTCCATACTTCCCTCTAACCCTGCCCCTGCGTACTTCCCTCTAACCCTGCCCCTCCATACTTCCCTCTAACCTTGCCCCTCCATACTTCCCTCTAACCCTGCCCCTGCGTACTTCCTTCTAACCCTGCCCCTGCGTACTTCCCTCAGAGACCCTGTGGAATACGGCCTCGTTCTACCTGGAGTCCTCGTACCTGTACTTCCCGACGCTGCAGGCGGAGCTGGCCTCAGACGTCTCCTTCTTCTTCAAGACCAGTTCTCCGTCTGGAGTCTTCCTGGAGAACCTGGGACTCAAGCACTTCATCCGCCTGGAGCTGAGTGGTGAGGAACCACACACACACACAGATACACACACACACACACAAACAGAGAGACACACACACACACACAGATACACACTCAACACACAATCTAAAGTACATGTTGTTATGAATCTGTAGTTTAGCACCTGGAAGTATTGATAAAAAAAACCCTTGTGTGTGTGTCTGTGCGTCTGTGTGTGTGTGTGTGTATCTGTTCATGTGTGCATATACTAAACACTGTTTGTATCCACATTGTACTGTTGTATGAAATAGTTGTGTTGCTTTTGGTGTACATGGCCGCAGAGACTTTGCTAACACGCTCAATGAGGAAATAGTCCGTTTCCTTGAATATTTTAAGCCCTTTGTGTTTTACCTCGGTGTCATGAAGTATTGACTGCCTGACGGGGCCAACCTCACTCATTCATCTTCCTGAGGACAGCGTCTCGCAGCAGCGTTGAACCCCGTTACATCAGAAAAGGGATAACACGTTTGTTTGAACATTTTCACACACTGACATTAACAATGGTGCTGTAGCTTTGATTTTTCTGTCCACTCCAGGATCACAAAACTTGTTTCATTTTAACACTGTGAAGCTGATTGTAATGAATCTAATTTCTTAATGTTCTTGAATCCGTCCTTGAATTATCACCGTAGACATAAAATATGTGCCTCTGTTATTTATCAATTAAAATCTTTGTACATTTAAAGCTTCCTGACAACACACATCTATCAAAGCCGGCCGATAAAAGCTGAGGCACCCAACTTTTAAACCATAAAAACTCAACAACTATGTCAAAAAAATCCATCTTAAATCTTTACTCACTTGCTCTTAAAACCATTGAATTCTTTGATGAACTGAAGATAGCAGTTATTTTCATGTGCATGTATTTTGGTCTCAGCTGGACCTGAAACCATGCATTACATCTATATGACTCTCAAATATCACCTACACATTCCTCCAGAGAACCAGAGTGTAGTACTTTATCACCACCAACAATTATCCGATATTTCCTTTCCTCTCCCCAGCCCCTTCTGTCGTGACCTTCTCCTTCGACGTGGGGAATGGTCCGGCAGTGTTGTCGGTGAAGTCGCAGCTGCCTCTGAACGACCGGCAGTGGCATTACGTGAGGGCCGAGCGGAACGTGAAGGAGGCCTCTCTGCAGGTGGACCAGCTGCCCCCACGCTTCAGGGAGGCGCCGGGGGAGGGTTATCTGCGCCTCCGCCTCAGCAGCCAGCTCTTCGTGGGTGGGTCCATCACACACAGACATTGATTTTCTCTATAGCTCTATATTTGAGGCGAGCAACACGGTAGACGGAAGCACAAAGGCCAAATGTGTGGTGCTGTTCGGGATTTCACTAACTCCAGGAAACACAGAGACCTCAGAAAACACTGAGCTCGGTGCAGGTTCAGTACAAACAGATAATGTAATAATCCATCCATCCATCCATCCATGTTCTACCCTTTAATCCATTTCTGGGTCAGGGGGGTGGCAATCAGAGATGCCACCCAAGTCTCATAGCACCAGCCCCTCACTGACCCTCTGCAGGTGGTGAGTCCACAGGAGGACGGCTGCTCTCTGAGTGTGAGCATAGCCTTGATCTTTGGGGGGGGCTTTGGGCAAAGTGGGGGCTTTGGGCAAAGTGGGGTCAAGTGTCTTGCCCAAGGACACGGTGTGTCCTTGGGCAAGACACTTTTTACATATGTAATAATCATATGTAAAAATATGATTTTTATTTACATATACAGTATACTGCAGCTTCAGAGCTCTCTCTCTGTGTATTTATATATATATATATATATATATATATATATATATATATATATATCTTATAAAGTCCTTTAAAACTACACTATTTTTACATTAACTTTTTTCATCTTAAATAAAACTAGAAACCATGGAGCTCAGTTATTACGTCCTTGCAACAGTTTTGTTTTTGTCACAAATTGCAGAAGTAGCTTTTTGGTTTTGCTCGTGGTCCATGTTTTCAGGGTTTGTGCTCGATAAATGAGGATGTGCTTTAAAGGAATAGGCCTCTGTGTTTACATACTGACACATGTTCTTACCTTAGACTGATATGTACCTGTGTGGTCTGTGTCCGTGTGCTCTGTCATGCAAACGCAGCACAAACGCAGCCTCTTCCACAGACTGTATAGTTCTAAATCAGCTCCCGTTAGAAGCTCCCAAACTCTTCCACGTGTTCCTTATTTAAATACAGTTACGTGACGTGTTACTCTACAAAGTATAGTAACACAGAAATGTAACATGTCCATTTTCTCAGCGGATAAAAAGAGGAACTATATTGTGAGGCGTAATAATACGAGGAGTGCTACGTCCGCGAACTAACTCCCAAAGACCTCTCTCCCGCTCACTTCCGTCAATGGAAGCAGCGTGACTTGTAGAACGCACAGGAGCATCCTCTACAGTCTGTGGAAGAGGCTGTGTTTGTGCTGTTTGCATGACAGAGCACACGGACACAGACCAGGTACATATCAGTCTGAGGTAAGAACATGTGTCAGGATGTAAACACGGGGCCTGTTCCTTTAATAAGTCAGATTCAGATTCATTTATTTGCCATTTGCAGTAAAACCACATTGGAAAAACTGTGCAAGACTACCCCGGTGTGCACCACACACACCAGAGCTCTTGCCACGGCGCCATGCGGCCAAGTGCAGTGAAAACAGAGTCAGGACCTGCACCGTCGTCTTTGTGCAGCTGGAAGTCTTTTCATCCACACTTTTCCTGGTGTGGGATGGTTTTCCTGGTGTTTGATGGTTTTCCTGGTGTTGGATGGTTTTCCTGGTGTTTGATGGTTTTCCTGGTGTTGGATGGTTTTCCTGGTGTTGGATGGTTTTCCTGGTGTTGGATGGTTTTCCTGGTGTGGGATGGTTTTCCTGGTGTGGGATGGTTTTCCTGGTGTTGGATGGTTTTCCTGGTGTTGGATGGTTTTCCTGGTGTTGGATGGTTTTCCTGGTGTTGGATGGTTTTCCTGGTGTTGGATGGTTTTCCTGGTGTTGGATGGTTTTCCTGGTGTGGGATGGTTTTCCTGGTGTTGGATGGTTTTCCTGGTGTTGGATGGTTTTCCTGGTGTTGGATGGTTTTCATGGTGTGGGATGGTTTTCCTGGTGTTGGATGGTTTTCCTGGTGTGGGATGGTTTTCCTGGTGTTGGATGGTTTTCCTGGTGTTGGATGGTTTTCCTGGTGTTGGATGGTTTTCCTGGTGTGGGATGGTTTTCCTGGTGTTGGATGGTTTTCCTGGTGTTGGATGGTTTTCATGGTGTTGGATGGTTTTCCTGGTGTTGGATGGTTTTCCTGGTGTTGGATGGTTTTCCTGGTGTTGGATGGTTTTCCTGGTGTTGGATGGTTTTCCTGGTGTTGGATGGTTTTCCTGGTGTGGGATGGTTTTCCTGGTGTTGGATGGTTTTCCTGGTGTTGGATGGTTTTCCTGGTGTGGGATGGTTTTCCTGGTGTTGGATGGTTTTCCTGGTGTGGGATGGTTTTCCTGGTGTTGGACGGTTTTCCTGGTGTTGGATGGTTTTCCTGGTGTTGGATGGTTTTCCTGGTGTGGGATGGTTTTCCTGGTGTTGGATGGTTTTCCTGGTGTTGGATGGTTTTCATGGTGTTGGATGGTTTTCCTGGTGTTGGATGGTTTTCCTGGTGTGGGATGGTTTTCCTGGTGTTTGAAGGTTTTCCTGGTGTTTGAAGGTTTTCCTGGTGTTTGAAGGTTTTCCTGGTGTTAGAAGGTTTTCCTGGTGTTTGAAGGTTTTCCTGGTGTTTGAAGGTTTTCCTGGTGTTGGATGGTTTTCCTGGTGTTTGAAGGTTTTCCTGGTGTTTGAAGGTTTTCCTGGTGTTTGAAGGTTTTCCTGGTGTTGGATGGTTTTCCTGGTGTTTGAAGGTTTTCCTGGTGTTGGATGGTTTTCCTGGTGTTTGAAGGTTTTCCTGGTGTTGGATGGTTTTCCTGGTGTTGGATGGTTTTCCTGGTGTGGGATGGTTTTCCTGGTGTTGGATGGTTTTCCTGGTGTGGGATGGTTTTCCTGGTGTTGGATGGTTTTCCTGGTGTGGGATGGTTTTCCTGGTGTTGGATGGTTTTCCTGGTGTTGGATGGTTTTCCTGGTGTTGGATGGTTTTCCTGGTGTGGGATGGTTTTCCTGGTGTTGGATGGTTTTCCTGGTGTTGGATGGTTTTCATGGTGTTGGATGGTTTTCCTGGTGTGGGATGGTTTTTCTGGTGTTTGAAGGTTTTCCTGGTGTTTGAAGGTTTTCCTGGTGTTGGATGGTTTTCCTGGTGTTGGATGGTTTTCATGGTGTTGGATGGTTTTCCTGGTGTGGGATGGTTTTCCTGGTGTGGGATGGTTTTTCTGGTGTTTGAAGGTTTTCCTGGTGTTTGAAGGTTTTCCTGGTGTTGGATGGTTTTCCTGGTGTTGGATGGTTTTCATGGTGTTGGATGGTTTTCCTGGTGTTTGAAGGTTTTCCTGGTGTTTGAAGGTTTTCCTGGTGTGGGATGGTTTTCCTGGTGTTGGATGGTTTTCCTGGTGTTGGATGGTTTTCCTGGTGTTGGATGGTTTTCCTGGTGTTGGATGGTTTTCCTGGTGTGGGATGGTTTTCCTGGTGTTGGATGGTTTTCCTGGTGTTGGATGGTTTTCCTGGTGTTGGATGGTTTTCCTGGTGTTGGATGGTTTTCCTGGTGTGGGATGGTTTTCCTGGTGTTGGATGGTTTTCCTGGTGTGGGATGGTTTTCATGGTGTTGGATGGTTTTCCTGGTGTTGGATGGTTTTCCTGGTGTTTGATGGTTTTCCTGGTGTTGGATGGTTTTCCTGGTGTGGGATGGTTTTTCTGGTGTTGGATGGTTTTCCTGGTGTTGGATGGTTTTCCTGGTGTTTGATGGTTTTCCTGGTGTTGGATGGTTTTCCTGGTGTGGGATGGTTTTTCTGGTGTTTGAAGGTTTTCCTGGTGTTTGAAGGTTCTATTTCATCCTTCCTGACCGCCAGAGGCGGTGCTTAAGCACTGGATGATCATCCTCGCGCATGCACAGATTGAGAGTCAAATAACAACAAAGTCACCCGTGACCTCCGGTAGCTCACGCGAGAGTCTATAAAGCCACGTGACACCGGAAGCACAGTCCCTTTTCACTTTCTCGCATGCAGGTTGTATGAGTCTGGCTGAAGCTAACTGATAGCTGTTTGTGCCTGTTGTTCGCGCCGCTTGCTGCCTGTAGCCCCGTGACTGCTCGTCGGTCGGTGCTGCGAGTTTCTCGCCCTCCGTGGGTTGCGCAAGCCGCGCTGCTTGCCTCTGGTGAGTGTTTGTTTTGCTTATTCGCCGTGACTTGTGCTCGGTTGTTTTTCGTTACTTCTTATAATTGGGGGGTTACTAGTGGCGTTTCTGCTCGACCCGACCCTGTTATCTGGCTGTTTACCTGCGCGTATTCAGCGTGTGTTTGGTGGGTTACCAGTGGCGTTCTGCTCGACCTGACCCTGTGTCTTGTTAATTACCTTGTTAATTATTTGTTAATTTCTGTCGGTCACTGGTGGCGTGTCTGCTCGACCTGACCCTGTTGAATTGGCTGTTGCCTGCGCGTGTTCCTGCGTTTTGCCTTTCAGGGGAGGCACTTCCAGTTCAGGGTGCTTCCCTTCGGCCTCTCGCTCTCTCCTCGGGTCTTTACGAGATGCGTGGCGGCGGCTCTTTCCCCGTTGCAGGCCAGGGGGTTGAGGATCCTGCCCTATCTGGACGATTGGCTGATCTGTGCCCCCACTCGCGAGCAGTCTCTGCGGGATACGCAGGCTGTGATAGAGCACGTGACCAGGTTGGGTCTGCGAGTGAACCTGGCAAAGAGCAATGTGGTGCCGTCTCAGCAGGCTTTGTTCCTGGGCATGGCTCTGGATTCCCTGTCTATGTCCGCCCGCCCCTCGCCTCGACGTGTCGGGGACATTCGGGCGTTGCTCCCGGGCTTCCGTCGAGGACGGTCGCTCCCTTACCTGGCGTTCCTCAGGCTCCTGGGCATGCTGATTGCAGCCTCGTCTGTGGTCCCCCTGGGTCTTTTGTCTTTGCGCCCGCTGCAGATGTGGCTCAATGGCCTGGGGCTGGACCCGGCCAATCCTGTTCACAGACGTCGGCGGTTACTGGTGTCTCCTCGGTGTATGGAGTCACTGTCCCGGTGGCGCGACGAGGCGTTTGTGCTGACGGGCGTCGCGCTGGGTCCCCTGCCGTCCCGCCGGGAGGTGGTGCATACGGACGCGTCCCTGACAGGGTGGGGCGCAACGTGGCAGGGGCGTGCGGTTCAGGGCGTCTGGCCGGTGCGGCAGAGGGGGCTCCCATATCAACGTCCTGGAGCTCCTGGCCGTTCAGCTTGCGCTGCGCCATTTCCTGCCGGTCTTGCGGGGGCGGCATGTGTTGGTGCGGTCGGACAACACCAGTGTGGTCTATTTCATCAACCACCAGGGGGGAACTCGGTCGGAGTGCTTGCTGGCAGTGGCACGAGGGCTGTTGACTTGGGCCTATCCCCGTCTTGCGGGTTTGACCGCGATGCACATCCCAGGGACTCTGAATGTGTCGGCGGATTTCCTGTCGCGCCACGTTTCGCTGCCGGGCGAGTGGCGGCTACACCCGGAGGTAGTGGTCTCCATTTGGGGGTTGTTCGGCCGGGCGAGGGTGGATCTCTTTGCCTCTCAGGGAACGACTCATTGCCCGCTGTGGTTCTCCCTGTTGGAGTCCACCGGTCCCCTGGGTCAAGACGCGCTGGATCACGACTGGCCCAGGGTTCTGCTGTACGCGTTCCCGCCGTTCCCTCTGATCCATCAGACGCTGCTCCGGGTCCTTCAGGAGGGCCACAGGATGATACTGGTGGCCCCGTATTGGCCGGGGAGGACATGGTTTCCCTTGCTGCTCAGGCTCTGCTGCGGCTTGGCGAGACCCCTTCCCTCCAGGCGGGATCTCCTGTCTCAACTGGGGGGCCGGCTTCTCCATCCGGACCCCGGCCGCCTGCGGCTTTGGGTGTGGCACCTCCGGGGACCGGTTTAGCGTTTACAGCCTATACTGGGGAGGTTGGCCGCACCATGTGCAATGCCCGGGCTCTGTCCACACGCCGGCTGTATTCCTGTAAGTGGAACGTGTTCGACGGGTGGTGTCGTGGCAGGGGACTCGACCCGCGTCTCTGCTCGGTGACGTCCATACTGACCTTCCTTCAAGAACTGCTCAGTAAAGGCCGTTCTCCGTCCACCCTGAAGGTATACGTTGCTGCGATTTCGTGTGGGCACGCTGGGTTTGGTGGGACTAGTGTCGGTCGTGTTACTGACGTTTCACTGTTTTTGAAAGGTGCCCGCCGGTTGCACCCGCCCTGTCGTCCTGTGGTGCCGGCTTGGGACCTCTCGGTTGTCCTTGATGCCCTGCGTTCCCCGCCATTTGAGCCTTTGGGGGAGATTGCCCTCAAGTGGCTGTCTATGAAGACAGCGTTTCTCCTGGCTATGGCCTCCGGACGGCGGGTGAGTGAACTCCATGCTCTGTCGGTGACCGAGGCCTGTTGTCGTTGGCATCCTGACGGCTCGGGTGTGTCTATGTGGCCGGATGTGTCCTTTGTCCCGAAGGTGTCTTCTGGTCGGTATGACGGGCCCCTTCAGTTGGCCCGTTTTGGTTCTGGTGAGCCCCCTGACCCTCTGTGCCCTGTTCGTGCACTGGAGGTGTATATTCGCTCCACGGCCTCGATAAGGCGTTCAGACGCCCTGTTTGTCTGCTGCGCCGGCCCTCGCGTTGGTCGGGCTCTGTCCAAGCAGCGTCTCTCCCACTGGGTCGTGGGGGTTGTGACAGAGGCCTATGCCTTGCGGGGGCTGCCGTTACCGCCTGGGGTGAGGTGCCATTCTACGAGGGGCATGTCAACTTCGTGGGCTGCTGTGAGTGGTGTGTCGTTGGACGTCATCTGTGCGGCGGCGTCATGGTCGTCCCCAAGCACCTTCGCCAGGTTTTATCGGGTTAATGTTGCCGCCCCGCACCCCCTGCAGGGGGTTCTGCGGCGCCGCTCATCCGTTTCACAGTAAGGTGAGGTTCTGGTTGGTTTCCTCGTGACCTTGCTGATATTCGTCATCCAGTGCTTAAGCACCGCCTCTGGCGGTCAGGAAGGATGAAATAGAACGAGAGTTACGACTGTAACTACGGTTCTATGAATCCTGGATGACCGCCAGAGCGCCCGGTCCCTCGGAATCCTTGTGCAAGAAAGGTTCTAGGGACTGTGCTTCCGGTGTCACGTGGCTTTATAGACTCTCGCGTGAGCTACCGGAGGTCACGGGTGACTTTGTTGTTATTTGACTCTCGATCTGTGCATGCGCGAGGATGATCATCCAGTGCTTAAGCACCGCCTCTGGCGGTCATCCAGGATTCATAGAACCGTAGTTACAGTCGTAACTCTCGTTTTCCTGGTGTTTGAAGGTTTTCCTGGTGTTTGAAGGTTTTCCTGGTGTTTGAAGGTTTTCCTGGTGTGGGATGGTTTTCCTGGTGTTGGATGGTTTTCCTGGTGTTGGATGGTTTTCCTGGTGTTGGATGGTTTTCCTGGTGTTGGATGGTTTTCCTGGTGTGGGATGGTTTTCCTGGTGTTGGATGGTTTTCCTGGTGTTGGATGGTTTTCCTGGTGTTTGATGGTTTTCCTGGTGTTGGATGGTTTTCCTGGTGTGGGATGGTTTTTCTGGTGTTTGAAGGTTTTCCTGGTGTTTGAAGGTTTTCCTGGTGTTGGATGGTTTTCCTGGTGTTGGATGGTTTTCATGGTGTTGGATGGTTTTCCTGGTGTGGGATGGTTTTCCTGGTGTGGGATGGTTTTCCTGGTGTTGGATGGTTTTCCTGGTGTTGGATGGTTTTCCTGGTGTTGGATGGTTTTCATGGTGTTGGATGGTTTTCCTGGTGTGGGATGGTTTTCCTGGTGTTGGATGGTTTTCCTGGTGTGGGATGGTTTTCATGGTGTTGGATGGTTTTCCTGGTGTTGGATGGTTTTCCTGGTGTTTGATGGTTTTCCTGGTGTTGGATGGTTTTCCTGGTGTGGGATGGTTTTTCTGGTGTTTGAAGGTTTTCCTGGTGTTTGAAGGTTTTCCTGGTGTTTGAAGGTTTTCCTGGTGTTTGAAGGTTTTCCTGGTGTTTGAAGGTTTTCCTGGTGTGGGATGGTTTTCCTGGTGTTGGATGGTTTTCCTGGTGTTGGATGGTTTTCCTGGTGTTGGATGGTTTTCCTGGTGTTGGATGGTTTTCCTGGTGTGGGATGGTTTTCCTGGTGTTGGATGGTTTTCCTGGTGTTGGATGGTTTTCCTGGTGTTTGATGGTTTTCCTGGTGTTTGAAGGTTTTCCAGCCGCTCACTCCTCGCCTTTGACACCGTGTTGATAAAACAATATCATTATAAAATACTTGTTTTATGTTTTAAAGCTCAGGACAAGCTTAGCTTTGGATTAAACCAATTACTGCAGACAGATATAATGTGTTTTAACAATATGTTCATGAACACATTATTGTCAACGGGAGAAAGTACCAGTTTATGATTCATTTGTTGTCAGACAAGTAGGAGCGATGGGGAACCTCCAGGATCATTACAAACCCATTAGCTTTGCTCCATATAGAATATTAATTCACTTCCATTAAAGCATCCACTGAAAACACAATATACAATGTTCAAGCTGTCATTCCTATTAATACACAGAATATTAAAATATAAATATACTTATAAATATAATAATACATCTAAATTATAATTATTATTATCTACAGCTGTAATAGAGTGTGCGGTTTGAGATTATTTTACATCAGCTATTTAACTTCATAAAAGCTGTAAGTCACTGTAATTACATATTCCACTGAACTATGCATACAATACACAATACAATACAATAGAATGTATTGTTGTATAGCCCTAGGTCACAACAGAAGTCATCTCAGACTTAACAAAACCATTGAAATCACCAACACAGGTCAGAGAATCAACAGTTAAAACACATGAAGAATATAAAGCACACACAGAAGAAAATGTCCATACATGTTGTAGAATGCTAAAGTGTCCTGATCATCACCAATCCTTTCTGTTGGACACTAACTGTCCAACAAGACCCTCCTGCATCCACAAGGAACAACTCTTAAAAAACCCAGTGGGAAAAAGTGAGAAACCTTGGGGAGCACTAGGGAAACCCACAGGGAGGGAGACCCATATGAGAAAGGGATCCGCTCCTCCGGACGGACAGGCTAATGATCTAGGACCTAAGCTAGCTACAGAACGTGGACCAGTGGACGCTGAACGTGGACAGGTCCGGTGCAGGACTGAAGCACTCCCAGGCGGGTCGGGCGGGGCAGTCCGCAGGTGTAGATGGAGGAGGCCAGGCTCAGAGATCCCGTCATCGTACCATGAAACAGACAATGGGACAACGGGTGAATAGCAATGAACAAACTACAGTCAAAATCCTAATAAGGCTAAACAGATAAAGTAGGAAGGAGGAGAGGATAGTGCTCAAGTTACCATACTTCTCCAGCAGGGGGCTCCCTATGCAGCTTGACTGACAGTCTGAGGAGTTTAGCCTTCCCTGAGTCTTACCTTCCTAGCCATATGCTAAACTAAAGAGGACTGTTTTAAACCTAGCCTTGAATAAAGAGAGCGTATCTGAAAGGAGGCGAGACAGCAGCAGCCACGGCTAGGCTGCATAAGTTTATATTGAATAAGATGTTTTTGTGGCCGGTCCAGACGCGGCAGAAGCAGCGTGTTTGTTCACGGCTCAGATCAGTGTTTGTTTATCCATGAGTTCACCTCTCGCTGTCTTTAAAGAGTTTGTTAAACACATGTGCAGCTGCTGTGGCTCCGTCTCCGACACTGAAACTGTAGTTCACTGTCTCTGTGTCTGTGCAGTTTTACCACAAACATATTTATGCTTTATCTTCCTGTAAACGACTCACACTGATGTCTCTCGCTCTTATCCACTCCTTTGGATCATGTGCCAGTTTTTATATCACAGGCGCCAACTCAAAAGTCACTACAGATAAACTCCTGCAGTCGTTCCTTTAAAATATGTTTGTGTTTAGTCTTTTCTCTCGCCTCAACCTCCGCGGCGGTCACCCTCTGTCAGCTCCGCCCTCTTCCAGAGGTCAGAGGTCATATGCAGTATTAGTTCTAAAGTATTGAATCACAGACATTTCAGAGTTTTGCTTCTAGATGAGGTTTCATAAACAAAAAAGCGACTGAAGATTAGCAAAAAAAAATCACTTGAATTTATAAAAATGTTTCTTGATTTGGACGTATTTTGAAAATGTGTCACTGAACAATAAAATAGAGACATTTTTTTAATAATGTATTAAAGCTGAACATGCTTTCATGTGTTTACTCAACTGTCTGAGTTTTGTGAGAAAATGTTTAAATGTTTTCATTTTTGTTCCGCAGGTGGGACGGCGTCGCAGCAGAGGGGGTTTCTGGGATGCATTCGAACCCTGGTTGTTAATGGTGTGAACTTTGATCTGGAGGAGCGGGCGAAGATGACGCCCGGGGTGAGCTCTGGATGCCCCGGATACTGCAGCGGCTCCAGCAGCCTCTGCCACAACCGCGGCCGCTGCATCGAGAAGAGCAGCGGATACGTCTGCGATTGCTCCCAGTCGGCATACGGGGGCGCCACCTGCGACCAAGGTCAGAGCATTAGACTTTAGCATTAGCGTCTCTTTGGCAGCACTGTGCAAGATTCTCTTTATCTGAAAGAAATCAGCGCAATGTAAGAACTGGACAAGGACATCCATCCACTGAAATAGATATATCAGGAGCATTGGCCTTTGAGCCTGAAGGTCGTGGGTTCGAGTCCACCACAAGACTTTCTCCACCGCCTCCTGCTGAGGTCTGCTGTCATTGTGTCCTTGGGCAAGACACTTAACCTCTGGGAACAGCAGGTGCCACAGTGGGGCGGCTGTAAAGTGCCAAACTGTGGGTGTGTCCTTAGGCAAGACACTTCACCCGCATTAGAATGAGTCTGGTGTGTGTGTGAATGGTTGGTGGTGGCACAGACTGGTTGCCTCGCTTCTGCTGGAACATGGCTTTTCCAGGGCCTGGAAGAGTCATTGATGATTCTAAGAGCTCAAACCTAATGAGCAGTAAAACATTTGAATAGTGCGGTATTTAACGAGGAATGTGAGGATTTGTTCAGCAGAAAATATAAGTTGGCAATAGTTTCTTCCATACTTTGTTTTTCTATACGTGGCTGATTAGAATACTTTACCTACACTGAATCAATATGCAGCTCCATATGTTGAAAGAAGTGTCTGAAACTCCGAAACCACCCAAGCTGTCACTTTATGAAGTTATTTACTGACAATTATCTGTGTGACGTTAAAAACCACCAGTTTTTGCTGCAGAGGAATGTTTCTGGAACCGCTCAGAAAAGAAATGCATGAATTTGATCCAGATAAAACAGGATGGGTTTGTTCGCAGCATTCAACCAAAAAATAATACATAATTAACCATGAATTACTGGTTATTGTGCGTCCTGTGGTGTGTGTGTGTGACCTGGGTAAGGATGAGTCAGTTAAGGATGTGTGAATGAGTGAATTATGAATGAAAAAGCTGGGCACACACACATAGACACACAGACTCACTCAGACACACACACATGCACACACTCTCACGCACAAATGCACACACTCTCACACACACACACACAGACAGACACACACTCACACACACAGACAGACAGACACACACACAGACTCACACGGACAGACATTCCTTGCCTTTATAGATAGATATTGCAATAATTCACCAAAATATACTGTAAAACTCATCATTAATCATTTAACAATTAAGTTTAATCTTTCAAACTTGCACATTCACTTGTGTAGCTGAGGCTCATGATTCACGTCAAAGTAACTGAATACTACTGTGAGTACTCGAGTACCAGTGTGGCTCTACAGACACATCCATACAGTATATTTATATACGGGCGGCACGGTGGCTGAGTGGATAGCACTCTTGCCTCTCAGCAAGAAGGTCCTGGGTTCGAATCCCGGTCGGACCAGGGCCTTTCTGAGTGGAGTTTGCATGTTCTCCCCGTGTCTGCGTAGGTTTCCTCCGGGTACTCCGGTTTCCCCTACCACTAAAAATATGCCCAATAGTTCTGGCATGCGCCTCCTGTACTGGCCCCGCTCCCATCTCTGTGTGGAGTGAGAGACAAATGCCCAAAAATAACAATTGTAAACCGCTTTGAGACTCAGATCTGCAGTGAAAAGGCGGTATATAAATAAAAACTTACTTACTTACTTACTTACTATATTTAGTCAGTTATTAACAGTTGCTGGTACACCATGTGACAGTGTTTTCTTCCCTTCGTGCCCAGAGGTGTCCGTGTCCTTTGAGCGCGAGTCGTCGGTGACCTACACGTTCCAGGAGCCCTTCTCTGTGATGCATTCTGGGAACTCCCCGGCCTCCAGCGCGTCCACGGAGAGCCTGAGCCGCGCCCGGGAGGACATGGCCTTCAGCTTCAGCACCAGCCACAGCCCGGCCATGCTGCTCACACTCAGCACCTTCAGCCAGCAGTACATCGCCGTCATCCTCACCCGGAACGGTACGGACGGCACGCTTTAGCACTTGATTCACTTTAGCACTTTAATACTTTAGCACTTGATTCACTTTAGCACTTTAATACTTTAGCACTTGATTCACTTTAGCACTTTAATACTTTAGCACTTGATTCACTTTAGCTCTTTAATACTTTAGCACTTCATTCACTTTAGCACTTTAATACTTTAGCACTTGATTCACTTTAGCACTTTAATATTTTAGCACTTTAATACTTTAGCACTTGATTCACTTTAGCTCTTTAATACTTTAGCACTTGATTCACTTTAGCACTTTAATATTTTAGCACTTTAATACTTTAGCACTTGATTCACTTTAGCACTTTAATACTTTAGCACTTGATTCACTTTAGCACTTTAATACTTTAGCACTTGATTCACTTTAGCACTTTAATATTTTAGCACTTTAATACTTTAGCACTTGATTCACTTTAGCTCTTTAATACTTTAGCACTTCATTCACTTTAGCACTTTAATACTTTAGCACTTGATTCACTTTAGCACTTTAATACTTTAGCACTTGATTCACTTTAGCACTTTAATATTTTAGCACTTTAATACTTTAGCACTTGATTCACTTTAGCTCTTTAATACTTTAGCACTTCATTCACTTTAGCACTTTAATACTTTAGCACTTGATTCACTTTAGCACTTTATATCATTGTCCATATATTCTGCTGTGTACATAAGGGGCGGGGTGAAGGTAGTGGGTTCAAGTCCACCACAAGACTGTCTCCACCGACTCCCACTGATGTCTGCTGTTGTTGTGTCCTTGGGCAAGACACTTCCCCCACATTAGAATGAGTCTGGTGTGTGTGTGAATGGTTGGTGGTGGCACAGACTGGTTGCCTCGCTTCTGTCAGTGTGCCCCAGGGCAGCTGTGGCTACAGTAGTAGTTTATCACCACTGTGTTTGGAGAAAGTGCTGCATAAAACCAATGCATTATTTTTATAACAGACACTTAGAAAGAAAATGAATCTGTAGATCTTTGCATTTATATAAAAGTAGCACTAACAATCTCTGTAGGATTAAATATAACCAGTGTGTGGAAAAATGTGTGTATATTTATGTGTGATAAATCTGATAAAGATGTGATAGAAGTCAGTAAACACTAAACTGAAATTAGTTAGATCCTTGCATAGTTTTATTTTCTATGATTTGAAAGTTACATACACCAGCTTTAAACTGGCTCCAGTACTCTGCGCCTGTGGGATTACCTTAGTCTGCAACACACTGTGGAGGAAACACAAACTGACTGTCTCTGTGTCACGGCTGTTCTCTGACAGACAGATCTTGGGCCACCAGGAGAACTGAGCCGAGCCGAGCCGAGCCTTGCCTTCCAGCCATTCTCCTGTATCTCCTTTCCAGTCTGCTGCAATACATCTATTCTAATAAAGCAGAAGGCGGCCGCAGATCCTGACTCTGAGAATGTGGAATATTGGTTGAAAAGCTCCACCCACGTCTCAGGGCCTCTCCGCAGCTGAGCACTTCCCTTCACCCAGTGTGCATATGATTATTGACCCGCTGCCGCACAAACTCTCTGATCTGCCTCCGAGTGTGTGTGGGAGGAACACGGAGCGGATCGTATTGACTGGAGACAGGAACGCAAAGATAACATTTTTATATCTTCAGCAGAAACTGTAGAAGCGAGAAAAAGAGAAGCCGTTTACAGGAAGAGGCCAAGTTACATTGACTTCAGAATGTGTAGACGATTCCTTTCATTGTGTTGTCGTAGATCGGTTATGGCATTTTAAGTGAAGAAGCAAAAGGGCCACATTCACATCGTAGTTTTATTATGTAGCATGGCCGCCCAACGACCTGAGCATTAGCATTAGCATTAGCGTTGCCAGGTCCTCGAGGAATGAACAAAAAAAGCCATATTTTCTTGTTCTTGTGTTTGTTGCTGCACGTTTTAATCATGGATCTATAATAACTGGATAGATTATTACTAGCTTACAGCTGTCCCACCCATGGCCACAGAGGGCGCTGTGGTACTGCAGACTAAATTCAATTCACGAGGGCTACACAGAAAAAAGTCCCATAGAACTAAATGTAAACTAAAACAGCTCGACCTCAGCTGACAGAGAACCTGACAGAGAACCTGACAGAGAACCTGACAGAGAGACCCTGACAGAGACCCTGACAGAGACCCTGACAGAGAACCTGACAGAGAACCTGACAGAGAACCTGACAGAGACCCTGACAGAGAACCTGACAGAGAACCTGACAGAGAACCTGACAGAGACCCTGACAGAGACCCTGACAGAGAACCTGACAGAGAACCTGACAGAGACCCTGACAGAGAACCTGACAGAGACCCTGACAGAGACCCTGACAGAGAACCTGACAGAGAACCTGACAGAGAACCTGACAGAGAACCTGACAGAGACCCTGACAGAGACCCTGACAGAGACCCTGACAGAGAACCTGACAGAGACCCTGACAGAGACCCTGACAGAGAACCTGACAGAGAACCTGACAGAGAACCTGACAGAGAACCTGACAGAGACCCTGACAGAGAACCTGACAGAGACCCTGACAGAGAACCTGACAGAGACCCTGACAGAGACCCTGACAGAGACCCTGACAGAGAACCTGACAGAGAACCTGACAGAGAACCTGACAGAGACCCTGACAGAGACCCTGACAGAGACCCTGACAGAGAACCTGACAGAGAACCTGACAGAGACCCTGACAGAGACCCTGACAGAGAACCTGACAGAGAACCTGACAGAGAACCTGACAGAGAACCTGACAGAGAACCTGACAGAGAACCTGACAGAGACCCTGACAGAGACCCTGACAGAGAACCTGACAGAGACCCTGACAGAGACCCTGACAGAGAACCTGACAGAGAACCTGACAGAGAACCTACAGCTTTCATAAATATCAGATTTTGTGGGGATGTTAGTGTCCCTTGTCGTCCTGAAATTTTTTTCTTCTTAAATCCTTTAGTTTTCTTTAAATCCACACTTTACTGCCACAAACTCTGCTCCTTTCCTTCCCGTTCTGACTCCGCTCTGCTGCTGCTCTGATTGGTCAGAATGCTGTCCTCTGATTGGTCAGAGCGCGGCCGAGCCCCTCTGTGCACGTGCATGAGAGCCACACACGCCTATTTGGCGCAAAGCATCATGTCCACTGCACAGAACCGGGAGGACCAGACGATGCCCAAATATGGACGAGTTCCTCTGATATGTCAGCGCCCTTGAAGTCCCATGAGCCACTGAGCACAGGCCGTTCATTTTAACAGGACGCCATCTTGGATCAGCGGAGCTTGGCTTTAATCCACTGTTTATGAACAGTTCCTTTGGGCATAAATTCTATTGTTGTTACACAAAGATCTGTTAATCTGTTCTTGAATGTGTATGTAAGAAGAAGCGCCTGGATCACAATAATAGCTCCATACATTTCTTGCTCCATTAATTAGAAGTGAGATTATTAATTTTAGTTATTTTTCAACTCACAAAAAAACCATTGATCCAAACTGATAGAAAATGTGGATTTTTGTCTGTATTAGTTAATTTCCAAGAACAAATATGTCTGTTTATTGACTAAAAGTTGGATTACTCTAGTTCCAATCTTCAACATTTTATCGGCTGTAAATTTGAAAACATTTGGTGAAGAAGAAATCAAATGTTATTTATATGGCACTAAAAAAAATACTTTTTGTGTCTGGCAAATATGTTTTCTTGCAAATTAACAACATTCAGTTTCAATCATTCTCATGGGTGGCTGAGTGGTTAGCGCTCCTCAGCAAGAGTATGTATGTTCTCCCCGTGCCTTCGTAGGTTTCCTCCAGGTGCTCCGGTTTCCTCCAGGTGCTCCGGTTTCCCCTATACCCCTAAAAAGTACTATAGGTCTGGCATGTGCCTCCTGTAGGTGACCTGTTCCATCTCTGTGTGGAGACAAATGCCCACAACTGTAAAGTGATTTGTGAAAGTCTTATTTCATCTCGAGGCTATTTTCTTTATAAAAACCTGTTTCTGTGGAAAATGTGTTGAGTTTCTATAACTGTCTGTGTCTGATAATCACGAGCTCTCTCTTTGCCTTCGTCCCATTAGTCCATACTTTCTCTGTATCAGACATGAAAGCAGTGAGAGCAGATGAGGACGTGAGTGAGATTATATTTGAAGTAGAAGGCAGTAGACAGATGGTTATAGGTTTTATCTCCGTGAGAGTGACGTGTTGATTGTGTCTTGTGTCCAGGGAGTCTGCAGATCTGGTATCATCTGAAGAAGAGCATAGATCCAGACGTACTCAGCCCTGGCTCCGGTAACTTAGCCGACGGACGCCTTCACAGGATCCGCATCCACAGAGTCAGCGGCAGTGTCTACATCCAGGTGGGTTCAACAGACACCACTGACACTTTACTGCCTCATTCAGGTGGGTTCAACAGACACCACTGACACTTTACTGCCTCATTCAGGTGGGTTCAACAGACACCACTGACACTTTACTGCCTCATTCAGGTGGGTTCAACAGACACCACTGACACTTTACTGCCTCATTCAGGTGGGTTCCACAGACACCACTGACACTTTACTGCCTCATTCAGGTGGGTTCCACAGACACCACTGACACTTTACTGCCTCATTCAGGTGGGTTCAACAGACACCACTGACACTTTACTGCCTCATTCAGGTGGGTTCAACAGACACCACTGACACTTTACTGCCTCATTCAGGTGGGTTCAACAGACACCACTGACACTTTACTGCCTCATTCAGGTGGGTTCAACAGACACCACTGACACTTTACTGCCTCATTCAGGTGGGTTCCACAGACACCACTGACACTTTACTGCCTCATTCAGGTGGGTTCCACAGACACCACTGACACTTTACTGCCTCATTCAGGTGGGTTCCACAGACACCACTGACACTTTACTGCCTCATTCAGGTGGGTTCCACAGACACCACTGACACTTTACTGCCTCATTCAGGTGGGTTCAACAGACACCACTGACACTTTACTGCCTCATTCAGGTGGGTTCAACAGACACCACTGACACTTTACTGCCTCATTCAGGTGGGTTCAACAGACACCACTGACACTTTACTGCCTCATTCAGGTGGGTTCCACAGACACCACTGACACTTTACTGCCTCATTCCCACCAGTGCACATCAGAGAAGGAGAGAGAGCCATGAGAGAAGCTGTATGTTAGTTATGAATGCAGCATAATAAGGCCAGCAGGGACCACCGCAGAGAAAGGCTTTGGAAGTGTCTATGGCTGGGGTCTCGAGCACAGACTAAAGCCTGGTTAAAATGGGTCGAGGACCAGAAAACGATTAGATCCAGGTTTTAGGTCTTCCTGTATCCGGTGAGCGTGTTTCTTGACTGCTATCACTCTGCTCTCTGCTCTAACAAACACATTACAAATCCACGTATTGTACACCAAGCTAACTGTGTAAGCACTCCGAGTCAGCTGTACTGCAGCTGAGGTTTAGGTAGCGGTTGTTTGTCTGGTCTCGGAGTCTGTTGTGCGGGCCCGGATCCGTACTAGCTTAGCCTAGCCTAGCTTAGCCTAGCCTAGCCGCTAACTCGCTACTATGGCGGCTGCTGTCTCTCCCTCAATCCTTTACTGCTCGAGTTGCCATATGGCGAGTCTAAACCCTGGATCCTTCTCTGAGGGTAGTGATAGATGTGTGAAGTGTAGTGTAGTCGTAGCTCTGGAATCCAGGGTCAGTGAGTTAGAGCTGCGTCTCCGAGCACTGGAGTCTCGAGCTAGCGCTAGCATTAGCTACAGCCAGGCCGTATCCTCAGGGACAGCGGAGCGCAGCTTTAGGGAAAGGCAGAGGAGAACTAGCGAGCCTAGCCTCCCAGCCCGTCCTCCGCAGCTGGGACAAGACCAGGATAGTGATGGCTTTGTGACTGTTCGGAGAGGGCGACGTGTTGTTGGTAGTTTCCCCATTGGGCCTCCTCCTGTTAGCATTTACAATCGCTGGGACGCTCTGTCCGGCTGCGCCCCCGCGCGGGGAAGAAGGCCCCACTGAGAGAGCCGCTGAGAGAGCTGCTGAGAGAGCTGCTGAGAGAGCCGATGGAGTCGCTGATGCGCTGGTAATTGGCTCCTCTATTGTTAGAGGTGTTAAGATCCCAGGAGCCACTGTTCGGTGCTTCCCTGGGGCCAGGCTTGGTGATATTGAAGGGAATCTGAGGCTCATGATTACCCACAAGCAGCGTTTCCGTCGAATTGTTATTCACGCGGGTGGTAATGACGTTCGGCGGAAACAGTCCGAGGTGTTGAAGCTGCAAGTCGCCGCCGTGTGCAAGCTGGCTAGCACAATGGCCGACACTGTCATCTTCTCTGGGCCCCTACCTAGCACTAGCAGTGCAGAAGCATTCAGCAGACACTCGGCTTTCAACCGCTGGCTGTCTGGCTGGTGCCCTCGAAGTGGTGTTGTTCATGTTGACAATTGGAGTGCCTTTTGGGGAAAGCCCGGTCTCATCCGCTCGGATGATATCCACCCAACGTTGGCGGGTACATCCCTTTTGGCTAAGAATTTGGCCCTGGCTCTAAACTGTTCTGCTCGGCTCAAATGACGATGCAGAACTGAGGCCCGGGTGCAGAGCTGCTCTGCCACAACCTCTGAGCCCCCATCTGTTCAGTTACTAGCCTCAGAGGCTAGTCAGATTGAAACTGTGTGTGCATGTGTGTGTGTGCCTGTGTGTGCTCAGTTACTAGCCTCAGAACCTAGTCAGATTGAAACTGTGTGTGTTCCCCGCTTGAAGTCTAAAGCACTATATGCGAGGAAATCTGACCTAGGTGTCAGACACAGTAACTTAATAAAAGTTCAGACAGACAGAAATAGTTCTAGCGGTAGGGTTGTTAAATGTGGTTTAATGAACGTCAGATCAATCTCGTCTAAATCGCTTCTCATAAACGAACTTATTATAGACAAGGGCTTGGATCTGTTAGCGCTCTCGGAGACTTGGCTCCAACAGGACAAGTACGTTAGATTGAATGAGTGCACTCCTCCGACGCATGTTAACTACCAGAAAGCCAGAGCTACAGGTCGCGGCGGTGGTGTTGCGATTATATCACACACCAACTTGGTTCTTAGTCCCAAAACCAACAACGCTTTTCACTCGTTTGAAAACTTAACACTTTCAATCACCTGTCCTGGGTGGAGAAAACAAAAAGCAGTACTATTTATAGTTTTATACCGACCTCCTGGTCCTTACAGCGAGTTCCTAACAGAATTCTCTGACTTCATTTCAAACCTAGTTTTGGAATGGGAAAACATAGTTATAGCTGGAGACTTCAATATACATGTGGACGACAGCACTGACAGCTTAAACAAAGCTTTCAGCGCCGTACTAGATGGTGTTGGTTTTACTCAGAATGTGAGGAACCTACTCACATTCATAACCACACCTTGGACCTTGTCCTGACCTACGGCTGTGATGTCTCCAATGTTGACATCCAGCGTCAAAGCTCGTTGCTGTCTGACCATTTCTTGATCACGTTTGATCTCGCTTTGGAGGACTTTCCTGTCCCGCAAGATAAAACCATAATGAAAAGAACCTTAAATGATAAATCTATCACAAGGTTCAAAGAACTAATACAGCCTATGTTGAATACTGCTGCAGGTGAACCTGTTCACAGCAGCTGCAGTCCCTCAGTCATTGACCAAACGGTGGGCAACACTATGGAGTCTTTAAAATCTGCATTAAATGCAGCAGCTCCTTTAAAACAGAAAACTATTAGGATTAGATCATCGTCGCCCTGGTACAGTGTTCAACTCCACACTTTAAAACAGGACGTCAGAAAATTGGAGAGGCTATATCGCCACTCCCACTCGGAGCCTGTCCACAGGGAGTGGAAAGCAGGTCTCCGAAACTACAAGAAGGCCCTTCGCGGGGCTCGAACTCAATACTATTCAACTTTAATAGAAGCGAATAAAAACAACAGTAGATTTTTGTTTGGCACCGTCGCTAAACTCACAAACTGCCATAGCGCAATCGAGCCTAAAATTCCAAGCTCACTGAGCAGTGTCGACTTTCTCCACTTCTTTAATAATAAAATTACATCCATCCGTGACAAGCTGGAGGAGGTTGCTCCTGCTGTTAGTGGTGGACAGGTTGAAGCGGCATACGTGACTTCCCACTTAGACTCTTCAGTGGGCCTTAATAAATTCATGGCTGTGAGCCAAGCAGAGGTGATCTCTGTGGTCACATCCTCAAAAGCCTCAACTTGCATGTTAGACGCAGTCCCGACATGGCTCTTCAAAGACATACTTCCTTTGATAATTGAGCCTATCGTAAATATAATAAACGCATCCATACAATGTGGCTATGTCCCACAAGCTTTTAAAACCGCGGTAATCAAACCCCTTCTGAAGAAAACAAACCTGGACCCAGAAATACTTACAAACTACAGACCGATCTCAAACCTCACTTTTATATCTAAAATCCTGGAAAAACTTATAGCTGAGCAGCTCCGCTGCCACCTGCAGGAAAATGATATGTTTGAAGTCTTTCAATCAGGATTCAGAGCTCATCATAGCACTGAAACGGCACTAGTCAAAGTCACAAATGACTTACTACTAGCTGCCGATAATGGACAAGTGTCAGTGCTGGTCCTACTGGACCTTAGTGCTGCATTTGACACAATAGACCACAGCATTCTACTGCAGAGGCTAGAATGTGATATAGGTCTTAGAGGAACAGCCCTTGGCTGGTTTAAATCCTATTTATCAGATCGATATCACTTCGTCAATGTGAATCAGGACTCGTCGCCTTATTCTGGAGTGGAATTCGGTGTGCCGCAGGGTTCGGTACTCGGACCGATTCTTTTTACTCTCTACATGCTGCCACTGGGAAACATTATTAAAAAGCATGGAATTAATTTCCACTGCTATGCAGATGACACACAGCTTTATCTGTCGATGAAGCCTAATCAGACAGATCAGCTAGAAAAGCTCAGTGCCTGCATAAAGGACCTTAAAATGTGGATGACTCTTAACTTCCTACTTCTCAACCCGGAGAAGACAGAAGTGATCCTACTCGGTCCGAAGCGCCTGCGTGACTCCCTCACTAACCAGATGGTTACTCTCGATAATGTCAGTATAATACCCAGTAACACTGTGAGGAATCTTGGAGTCATTTTTGACCAAGAACTTCTCCTTCAAGGCTTAAATAAGCCAAGCAACTAAAACGGCGTACTTCCACTTACGGAACATCGCTAAAATTAGGAATTTCCTTCCTAAAAGTGACACGGAAAAAAAAACTCATTCACGCGTTTGTCACCTCAAGGCTCGACTACTGTAACGCTTTACTGGCAGCGTGCCCTAAAGCCTCTTTGAAGAGCTTTCCAGCTCGTTCAGAATACAGCAGCTAGGATCTTAACAGGTACCAAAAGGAGGGAGCACATAACTCCGGTGTTAAAATCACTCCACTGGCTCCCTGTGGATTACAGAATAAAGTTTAAAATCCTACTCTTAACATATAAAGCCATAAATGGCTTGGCTCCTTCTTATCTCCAAGACACGTTAGTGTCGTATCAACCAGGTCGAGCGTTGCGCTCACAAAACGCCAGACGTCTGGTGGTCCCTAAGGTCTCAAAGGTCACTGTTG